ACAAAGAGAAAACTTGTCAGAACCACTGGGACACAGCTAAAGCATTGTTAAAAGGGAAATTTGTAGCAATAAATGCCAACATCAGAAAGCTGGAAAGATCTCAAATTGACACCCTGACACCACCATTAAAAGAACTAGAGGAGCAAGAGCAAACAAATCCAGAAGTTAGCAGAAGACAAGAAGTAACTAAGATCATGGCAGAACTGAAGGAGATAGAGACACAAAAATCTCTTTAAAAAATCACAATCCAGAAGCTAGTTTTTTTGAAAAAATTAACAAAATGGATAGACCACAGGCTACACTAATAAAGAAGAAAGGAGAGAAGAATCAAACAGACACAATAAAAAATGATAAAGAGGATATCACCAATGGACCCACAGAAACAGAAATTACCTTCAGAGGACACTATAAACACCTCTATATAAACGAACTAGAAAACCTAGAAGAAATGGATAAATTCCTGGACACATACAATCTCCCAAGACTAAGCCAGGAAAAGGTCAAATCACTGATTAAACCAATAGCAAGTTGTGAAATGGAGGCAGTAATTAATAGCCTACCAACAAAAAAAGCCCAGCACCAGGCAGACGTACTCATGGCCAAATTCTACCAGAAGTATAAAGAGGAGTTGGCACCCACCATTTCTTCTGAAATGATTCCAAAGAATTGAAAAGGAGGGACTCCTTCCTAACACATTTTATGAGCCCAGCATCATCTTGCTAACACAACATGGCAGAGACAAAACAAAAAAAGAAAAAACCTCAAGCCAGTATCTCAGATGAACATTGATGTCAAAATCCTCAATAAAATACTAGCAAACTGAATCCAGCAGCACATAAAAAAGCTTATACATCCCAATCGTGTTGGCTTCATCTCTGGGATGCAAGGCTGGTTCAATATATGCAAATCAATAAATGTAACCCATCACATAAACAGAACCAAAGGCAAAAACCATATGATTATCTCAATAGATGCAGAAAATTCCTTTGATAAAATTCAACATTACTTCATATAAACTAGGTATTGATGAAACATATCTCAAAATTGTAAGTGCTATTTGTGACAAAGCCATAGGCAATATTATACTGAATCACAAAAGCTGGAAGCATTCCCGTTGAACATCAGCACAAGACAAGTATGCCCTCTCTCACCACTCCTACTCAATACAGTTTTGGAAGTTCTGGCCAGGGCAATCAGGCAATATATTTTTAAAAAGTATTCAAATAAAAAGAGAGGAAGTCAAATTGTCTTTTTACAGATGACATGATTCTATATTTAGAAAACCCCATAGTCTCAGCCCAAAAACACCTTAAGCTGACAAGCAACTTCAGTAAAATCTCAGGATAAAATATTAATGTGCAAAAATCACAAGCATTCTTATACACCAACAATAGTCAAACAGATGGCCAGATAATGAATTAACTACCATTCTCAATTGCTACAAAGAGAATAAAATAATTAGGAATACAGCTAACAAGGGATGTGAAGGACTTCTCAAGGAGAACTACAAACCACTGCTCAAGGAAATAAGAGAGGACACAAAGAAATGGAAAAACATTCCATCCTTATGGATAGGAAGAATCAATATCATGTAAATGACCATACCACCCAAAGTAATTTAGAGGTTTAATGTTATTCCCTTCAAACTACAATTGACATTCTTCAAAGAATTAGAAAATACTTCTTTAAATTTTATACGGAACCAAAAGAGAGCCTGTATAGCTAAACAAAAAGAACAAACCTAAAGGCATCATGGTACTTGACTTCAAACTATACTACAAGGCTACAGTAACCAAAACAGCATGGTGCTGGTAACAAAACAGACATATAGACCAATGGAACAAAACAGAGAATTCAGAAATAACACCACATATCTACAGCCATCTAATTTTTTACAAACATGACAAAAACAAGCCTTTTCAATACATATTGCTGGGAAAACGGGCTAGCCATATGCAGAAAACTGAAACTAGACCCCCTCTCCTTACACATTATACAAAAATTAACTCAAGATGGATTAATGACTTAAATATAAAACCCAAAACCATAAAATCACTAGAAGAAAACCTAAGCAATACCATTCAGGACATAGTCATGGTAAAACACTTCATGACAAAAACACCAAAAGCAACTGCAACAAGCCCAAAATTGACAAATGGGATCTAATTAAACTGAAGAGCTTCTGCACAGCAGAATAAATAAACTAGCATCAGAATGAAGAGGAAACCTACAGAACGGGAGAAAAATTTGCAATTTACCCATCTCACAAAGATCTAATATCCAGAATCTATAAGGAACACAAACTTACAAGACAAAACCAAACAACCTCATCTAAAAGTGGCCAAAGGATATGTACAGACACTTCTCAAAAGAAGACATTTATGCAGGCAACAAACATGAAAAAAAGCTCATCATCACTGATTATTAGAGAAACACAAATCACAATGAGACACCACCTCACATCAGTCAGAATGGTGATTATTAAAAAGTCAAGAAACGTAATCAAGGAAAGTAACAACCCCATCTTTCAGGTTATAGGAAGAATCATAGGTCTAACTTCTGCTGCCATCTAACGCCACATTATTTAAAGTATGAAGTGGGTTATATTTAGTTAGCTATCAAAAAGAGTGAGATTTCATTATATCTTTGTAAGCCCTTTGGTGAGTTGCCTGTGATGCATATTACATTCTCCTATAATACCTACTCAATAATTAAATTGTTTTATTTTCTTCTAAATTTATTAAGAGGATTCTTTGGTTTTGAGGAGAGTTTGTTTTTAAGCATATTTCTCTAGCAAAGTCCCAAAAAAGGAAGTTGCACAAGTACATGTTATGGAGTACTAGGAGGTGAAAATGCTGTAAAAATAAAACAAGATAGGAAAACAAAATTCATTATGTTTTGAAATTTTAAATGGAGTTTTCTGAGAAAGCATAGTTGAGGGGTTGATAGTTGAACATTACTCACAGGGCAGGAGATGGAGAGCTGCTAGACCACCTAGTTTTCACTCTATAGCAGAGGAGAAGATCAAGTGCAAATAGTAACCTGTGTGTGAGTTAAAGAAAAAAAAAGTCAACGATACATGTTAAAGCATAGTAAGGAAGGTTTTACTCAAAAGCATTGTGAGACAATATACAGGAATAATCCAGGGTTGTTGCAGAACAATATAAAAATCTAGGAAGCAGTTTTGCATGCAAAACTCAATTATTGCTTGTGAAAAGTCAATTGTTGCTTTGCTTGAGTTTATAAATTATTCAGTAAAAACAACCTCAGGAAAACAGGACATACAACAGAGATAAAAGAAAATACATCAACCAGCAACCCTAAAAATGGGCCAACCAGTCTGATAACATCTTGAAGGTGTACAGAAGGTCACAAAGCATTGACCAAGAAAGCAATAATTAGTTGCCTTTTTGAGACTGTACACATTTTACAATAATGTTTTTATTATTTCCCCTAATTTATCTTAAAAAATCCTGAACCACAGGCACAACTCAGAAACGCAATCTTTGAATGCTAGTTTAATGGCTCCTCTAGGTTGTTGGCTTCTCAAATAAAGCTAACATTTTTTTTTTTTTAATCACCAAAGCCTGTCTCTTCAGTTTGTGGCTTTCAGACTACAAGTGGTCCAGACCTAAGTTTGGCTAAAAGAGTAGTGTAAACCGAAAATAAAATTCTAAGCCCCCAACTGACTGATGAATCTTCCTCTCAGCCAAGGACATTCCAAACTAAACTTCAAATTGTAGTTCAGGCCATAGTGGAAAGAGGGTGGAGGCTGAATATGCCTCATCCCTTATAATCTTCTCACTTTAGAATTCAGGTACCACTGACTAACATCAACCATTAAAATAGATATCCTTCTACAATAAAAACAGTAAAACATTGGTGTCATAAATTGAGTATGATACAAAAAAATGTAAAAATACTCATTGTTGATGGATTTGAAGAATCAATACTGTTAAAATGTCTATACTACACAAAGTAATTTACAGATTCAAACTAATCTCTATCAAAATAAAAATAACATTCTTCAAAAAATAGAAAAAACTCTAAAATGCATGTGGAATCCTGAAAGACCTAGAATACCCAAAGCAATCTTGAGCATACTAAAGAGCTATAGTAACTGAAACAGCATAATACTGACATTAAAAACAAACATATAGACTAATAGCATGGAGGAGAGAACCAGGAAACAAATCCACACAGGGAAGTAATTTTTGACAAAGATACCAAGAACATATATTGGGAAAATACAGTCTGAATTTTCCCAATATTCAGAAATGGTGCTGGGAAAACTGAATAATCTTATGAAGAAGAATGAAACTAGACACCTATTTCTTGGCTTATACAAAAATCAAAATGTTTTAAAGGCTTTAAGATATCAAACTATGAAGCTACTAACAGAAAACATTGGGGAAACTCCCCAGGACATTGGAGTGGGCAAAGATTTCTTGAGCAATTCGCTGCAGGCACAGTCAATCAAAGCAAAGGTGGATAAATGGAATCAAATTAAGTTAAAAAGTATCTGAAGCACAAAGAAAACAATCAACAAAGTAAAGAGGCAATCTACGGAATGGGAGAAACTATTTTAAAACCACACATCTAAGAAGAAATTAGTAGCCAGAATATGTAAGGGGCTCAAACAACTCTATAGGAAAAAGTCTAATAATCCATTTTTTAAATGGGCAAAAGAAGGGAATAGACTTTCGCCAAAGAAGACACACAAATGGCAACCTGGTATATGAAAAGTAAAAAATACTATACTTAAAAAGTTAAAAATATTATAGGATTTTCATATGATCCGACAATTTCACTTCTGGGCACATACTCCAAAAATGTGTACAGAGACTCCAGTCCTCAGGGTGCTCCCGTCCTCAGGCGGCTCCAGTCCTCAGGGGGGCGCTCCAGCACCCGCGACCCGCCTGGCTCCATCTGAGTCTCTGGTTAGGCGCTCTGCGTCCCTGCGCCCCTCGCCTCCCTCTCCTCTCCTCTTCCGCAGTCGCACCCAGCATGGCGCCAAGGCGCGAGGAGCCCCGCGGGGAAAGAAGCATTTGAAGTCCGGAAGCACAGGACGTGCGACCTTCAGCCTTTGCGCCCACTTGGGCGCCACCAGCCCCGCAGAAGTAGGTGGGAATGGAGCTGTCCCGCTCCAGAGACCTCTCCTTCCGCCTCACCACGGAGCAAATTCTGTGCAGCCTAAGAGAATAAACGCATGCGGAAGAGAGGGCGTTTCAGACGCCAGTTTCCAACCGACAGATCCACCTTGTACTTCTCTGATGCCATTCACGGGCATTTCTCCTCAAAGGACTTCATCTATAACATCCTCATCATTAAAAAAAGGCCTTGTGTACTCTTGGGCAGGTTCAGTTGGTCTGAACGTTTTCTGAAAGAATGTGATGAGAAAATTCGAGAAGAGCATGAAGAACTCGAGCACAAAACTGGCAGAACAGGGTGATGAATTTGTGAAGTTCACGCTTGGTGAATAATGTGTCGCTCTGGCGCTGGCCCTTCCGTTTCATGACTCACACATTCTGCATTTGCCGCTGCTTTATTCCTTGCTGACTTATTGCAAAGCGTCCAAATTTTGACATGACACAATGCCAGGATCCCTCGGTAAGTACAGGTTTTTGCAAGCTTTTGTCAATGGCACCCACTCGTAGGCCGTAGCAACTGGTTTTGGAAATTTCCCCGATTTCAGCAGCACTTGAATGTGAACGTTTGCTACCTGTAGTTAATACAGTTTGGTTTCTTATATTAGTATGTTTGAAAAGGATTAAAGGAGGTATTCTAAAACAAGTCCTTCGCTGGTTGTGTAAATAAAACTAGAATGACAATGCAGAGGAAGTTAGTGTGATTTTAATTGTGTGCTACAACCAGGACATAACCAGTTATTAAAAATTGAGACTGTAATCTCAGGACAATCTGAAGCAAATAGCCCGCAGCACGTCTTGAGAAATAGTGAAGGAGGAAACCATTTCTGTATTCCAGGACTTCTTGAGCGTTCAGAATGGGTTTATGATTTTTTAAGAACTTTATTTATTCTATCAATCTTTTAAACACATGTGTATTGCTGCATTTTCTCCAGTATATTATTGTTTTACCTCCTTGGTAGTACTGGAATTTAGTTGAAAGAATAAAACATTTACTCCCCCACATAAAGAAAGAAAAGACTGGGAGTATTTAACGAAAAAATGTAGGTTTTGTTATCTCTAGAGGCAAAGAACAAAGAACATACATTCAGGTTATGTGCACACAGACTTCTACTGATTTCTAATAGTTTACTTATTTTATTTTTATATTTTAATTTTTATTTTTGAAATGGAGTCTTGCTCAGTCGCCCAGGCTGTAGTGCTGTGGCGTGATCTCAGTTCACTGCAATCTCCACCTCTCAAGTTGAAGTGATTCTCCTGTCTTAGCCTCCTGAGTAGCTGGGATTACAGGCCTGTGCCACCACGCTGGCAAAGTTTTGTGTTTTGAGTTAAGACAGGGTTTCACCATGTTGGTCAGGCTAGACTCAAACTCCTAACCTCAAGTGATCTGCCCGCCTCGGCCTCCCAAAGTGCTAAGATTACAGGCGTGAGGATCCATACATGGCCTGCGATATTTTATTTTAAGCTGGTGATGGGTGCATTGGTGTTTAATTTGTTTTATACATTATCTTCCACTGAAATATTTCTAGAGATACAAAATAGCTATCATTCTAATTCAGGCTATGAACAACTTAAGGAAAACAATACAATTATCTCAGTAAAAGCAGGATATCATTCAATACAATTTGCTGAACATTTATTGAACGAAGCATTGGTAAAAGAGATAAAATGGGATTTTTCTAATGTGCTGAATCTATCTACCTAAACCTCAGACAAACACAATATCTAATGGAGAACCATAATTGTTAAAGGCTTAAGGTGCTCGTTAATATTATTCTTTGGCATTTTATCAATATATATTTTAATCAATGACGTAAGGAAGAATAGATTAACTTGGAACTAGATCTAAAGTTGTTCAGCCATTCTATATAGTATTTTTCTATGCAATAAGGAATACAAAAATAAAAATAGCATTCTTGGTTTCAAGGTCTATAAGCAATGATTAACAGATTTCTATATATTAACAACAAGAAATAGAAGAAGTAATACACACAATATTCCATACACTAGAGCAACAAAATATAAAATACCCATGAACATTGCTATTTTATAATAATAACTTTTACGGAAAATATATGCAGTAGTTTTAAGGGATAGAAAACATCTTAAGGAACATACAAATAGAATTAGAATTATGTAGGGAACCTCAAGATGTTAAAAGTGCCAGTTCTACCGAAGCATGTCTTGATTTGATGATGGAGCAGAAGGAAGAGTGAAGATAAGCCATAGAAGAGGAACGATATTAGCCCTGAAATGCCCTGACTGCCATTCTCTAGCTCTGCTACTTAGGTCAATTTACTTAAGCTTCTGATCTCAGTTTCACATGTAAAAAAATGACAATATAGTTAAAGATATTATATAGTAATATGTACATGTGTCTAACAGAGATATCTGACGTACACAATGGTTGTAGGTGTCATTTGAGTTTACAAAGTGTTTTTTTTTTTCCCCACGGTGCCAGTTATACAGAAAACACTTGGTGTGTTTCACCTCATCATGTGAGAGAGAGGGAGAAGTTTCCGAAAGTTCCCAGTGATCTACAGGGAAGGGGACATAATTATCTTTGTAGTATTTTCAAGAAAAGGAAGCTAATTCGGCTTCGTGTCCTAGGAGAGGAGATAGAAGGAAATACAAACTTTGATAATTAAGGACAAGGGAATGGATTCCCCAAGGGCTAAAAATATAAGTTTTTGTCTTTTCATTCATTTGTCAATAACCATAAATATTCCAACTGTATATTAGCTGCGTTTTTCTTGATGGTGGAAACAGAAAAACATGTAAGATATTCATATGTTTTTGCCTTTTTAGGAACCTACATTCTTATTGAAAATACACACTATTCAGATCAGTACTAAGAGGTAAGTTAACCAAGCGCAAGCAAGATTATGTATAAGCTAGTGCCGAAATTACTGCTGAACGTGGTGATTGATTTCATTTCTTACGTCATTTTTGGTCGAGAATTTTATGAATTTTATTATATTTTATCTGTACAATATTACTTTGAGAAATGTGGTACAACCTGAGGCAGAAGGTTACCTGCCCCAGCTTATCAATGTGAAAGATTGGATCAAATCCATTGTTTTTGTTTTTTCATGTCCTGACATTCTAGATTTGTAAAAGATTTTGATAGTGAATGGGAGTCAGAGGAGAAAAGTAGCAGATGAAAACAGGCATGATTTGAAAGTTTTGGCCACATTTTCTTTTCTTTTAATAATTGTAGCTCATGCAGGATGAGAATTCCTAAATCAAAAATCCAGTATCAAAAATACTCCAAAATCAGAATCTTTTTGAGTGCTGATATAAGACTGTGTCACTCTTGCTTTCTGATGGTTCAGTGTACACAAACGTTCTCCCTTACACAAAATTACTTTAAAATATGGCATAAAATTACCTTCAGGCTATGTGTATAAGGGATACATAGAACATACGTTAATTTTGTCTCTACTCTTGGGTACCATTCCCAGGATATCTCCTTATATATATGCAAATATTTCAAAGTGTAAAATATCTGAAATCTGCTACACATCTGGTCCCAAGCATTTTGGATAAGGAATCCTCAACCTGTATTAATGAATGCTCACTTTTGTCATGTGCTCTTCTAAGACATTTACACCTATTATTTAAATATGTTTTTAAACTTGATGCGTACAAAAATGTTTATTTACAACAAATATGTTGAATATACGTTTTGTAAAATGCTTTAAAATATTACAACAGCTTTTCAAAAACACTTAACTCTGTCTGATCATGTAACCTTTCAGGCCAATTTTTTAGGTAATCATTATCATTATTCCAGTATTGCTGTGTTTTATAATAGATTTTTATATGTGTATTTAAATTACTCATGATAGGATTCATGAAATCATTCCCTGTGATCTGCTTTGTTCATTCAACATTCTATTTGTGAGACTCATCAATGCTACTTCTTGTAGTTTTGGTTATAAATTCCATTTTCAGTGCACATGCAGGTTGCAGTTTTATATTCGAAGTAAAGTTGCTATGCTCATTTTTCCTAATGTGAGAGATTTGTTTTCTTTTCTTTCCTGATCATTCCTTTTACAAAAGGTTTTATTCTTATTACAAAAGGATAAAGTCAGTTTAACAACTACAGTGATTACATATGCTGTCTGACAGTATTTCGGAACTGCTTTACTTATTTTTTTGATCAATTTTTGTCCACTCAACGTCTCCTTTCCATCATCTAACTCAGTGACTTCTCAATTTCCAAACATGATTTTCATGGTTTCTGTGTTATTATTGCTCTGGGAATGTGCACAATATCAGACTGTCATGAATTATGACCAGGATTTGCATAAGTTCTGTGTTACTATTGCTCTGGGCATTACACAGTATCACAGTGTCATGAAATCTGGTGACTCCTCTTCCAGAGGTGATAACGTTGATATAATATAATATATTATAATAATATAATCACAGTCTTTGTGACAGAACAAACTCAATGAAGACAATTTTAGCCCATGGGTATGAAGGGAATTTTGAGGCAATGAAGGGAGGTGCAAAAATACAACACAAATAAGAGTGCATTTATATAAATTCAGCCTAAACTAATGTAACTGAGAAAATTCAGAGGGATATGTAGATTTACATTTGTTAATCAATTTTGTTTTAATGCTGCATCATTCAATTGAATGTAAAATATATGGTAGAAATGTCTAAATGATCAAGTAGAATTAACATTTCATTTCAACTTAGTAACTTGGAAGTAGTGTTTCCTAGATGTAAAGAACACTTTGCCAACTTAAAAAGAAGCATAGGGAGAAGCTAACTTGACTAGATAGCTTCCTTCTTGGAATAATATTGCAGACTGACTTAAAGAAAAATTATGATGGAAATTTGAAGCAATACAGTTTTGTTTGCATAAATTAGTGTATTACAACAGTTGACAAGATCAAGATAACTGGGAATACTAGGGTATGATGTTCACAATAGGTGGTTCCATAAAGTAAGTTGAGATGAGTTATTTTCTTGAAGTGAATTCAGCTAATATGCACTGGAAATTATTGAGGCAATACAAAGTCTTTTCCTCTGATTGACCTTAAAAGCCCACCTTCTCTTGAGGACAAAACAAGGGAACCCTGTGGTAGGAAACCCTCAACACTAAAGATCCCAGAGATGCCCATTTCTCATTCTGAATACATTGACTGGACCTGGATCTGAGCTACCACTAATAAGCTTTATCCAACTTCTTGATAATGATTTGTTTTAAAACAAGAATGGAGGAAGGTTGCATCCTGTTTCTCTCTTCATACTGATTGAGAAAAATGATTTCTTTTTCTTTTAGAGATTTCTGTTCTATCTCATCAGAGTCCCATAAGGAGGTTCCTTCTCTGTCTTCCGAGCCCTGAAGAGACATTTTTTGGTAGGTTTTTATTCTCAGATCTCAGCTGCTGTTGAATTAAAATTTAAACTACTTTTGAGTATTTTTTTCTTATCCACAATATTATTCAAAATTTATTTAAAGAAATAAAACTCAAAAAAGTATACTTTACTATCTCATATTTAAAAAATTGTATTTCAACCCTCAGGCCAAATTCAAGATTCCATCACCTCTGTGGATTTCTTTTAACTCCCTTGTCGCTCCTAGATTATTCAGCTTTTATTATTGCTGATTTTAGTCCCTTCATTAAAATGTGATGCATGAATAAATGAAAAAAGTACATTTCTGTCAAATGACTCTACTCACCAGGCTTGTCTTTCTGTTTATGACATCATTTTTTATTGCCTGGAATAATTTTCCCTCACATACTGGCTTTGCTGATACATTTAGAATTATCTCATAGAATAAAATCTAAATGCACAACATACAAGAAACATAACTCTAAATTAGAAAACCCTATGTTTCCCCAAAATCTTCTAGTTATAGCATATCATTTTGTGGAATTCATATATGGATAAACCTTTCCTGTGATCTGATTTTCTCACTTCCTCAGAGTCTTTGCCAAATGCCACTAGATGTGTGAGGTTTCTCTTGACTACTCTGTTCAAAGTTGAACATGCTCGTGCAGTTCAAACACCTTTCTTTGACTTACTTTTCTCTGAAGCATTTAACCTCTTATGACATAAATTTGTTTATATGTCATCATCTGATCGCACTCACTATGACCTGTGTGGGCATGGGCCTTCTTTGTTCCAATTATTGTGGTAGCCACAATACTGAACACATAGGCTTCATAAGTGTTTCTTGAAAGCATGCATCTCATGCTTTTCTGAAGTTCTGTTTTTCTTTGTACTTATTCTCCAGAGGAGATATTTATTGTGTTAGTGTCCTAGGAATGAGAATACAGAGTATCACAAACTGGTTACCTAAAACAGAAGAAATTTGTTCTCTCATAGTTCTGGAGGCTAGAAATCTGAAATCAAGTTGTCAGCAGGGTTAGTTATTTCTGAGGGCTCTAAGAGGAGGAATCTCTCCCATTCCTTTCTCCGAGGTTCTTGTTATAACTAACAGTTGTTGGCATTTCTTGGTTTGTAGATACATCACTCCAATCCCTGCCTCCCCCATCCCATGGTATCCTCAGTGTCTCAGTCTTCACATGGCCATCCCCTTATCAGAACATGAGTCATATTGGATTAGAGAGGCACACTATGCTCCAATATGACCTCACCTTAACTAATTACAGTCTTTATGTTTTTCCAAACAAGCTCACATCATGAATATCCTTTTGACAAAAAATAAAATTCAATCCATAAGACAGGGCTATAGAAAAAAGGGCCTAGATTTTAGATTTGTATAATTGAAAATCCTTTCTGTGTGTCTACTTAGTGTATAGAAAACTTACAATGAGGAGTAGATCAAATACTCTAAACTGTAAAGTAATAGGCAACCAAACAGTTTCTGTTAACACTGGTAGAAAAGTCCCTACTATCATGTGAACAAAGGCACAAATTTATTTTCAGTTTCTAGTATTGTGTTGGTCACATGCTGACTGAAGCTGAATTTCTCTATCAATTTATCTGTAAAAGACTTCTGATTTCTTAGGAAACATCTGTTTGCATTGGAGACATATTCTTTTTGGAAAAACTCCATCAATAACATATTAAATATTGTTATTCTAATGTTTCAATTGAGAAAAAGGACACTCAGAAGAGAAACGTTGGAAAAGCTCCATAATTTCGTAAGTGAGGCAGTGCTGAAAGAACACATTTTGTTGTAAGTCTATACTTTTTGAACTTTTAGTTTTTTACTTCTGGTTATAGTGTATTGATCACTGACCTGAAAAATTTACCACAATCACATGCTTTATAAGGTACTGTGAAAAGTTTTACCAAATTAATGACCTGGTTTTGTGGTACTAGGTAAAAAACATATTCATCATGGCATGGGAGAATCAGACCTTCAACTCTGACTTCATCCTCCTGGGAATCTTTAATCACAGCCCCACCCACAGCTTCCTCTTCTTTCTGGTCCTGGCCATCTTTTCAGTGGCCTTCATGGGAAACTCTGCCATGATTCTCCTCATCTACCTGGATACCCAACTCCACACCCCCATGTACTTCCTCCTCAGCCAACTGTCCCTCATGGACTTCATGCTCATCTGCACCACTGTACCCAAGATGGCCTTCAACTACTTGTCTGGCAGCAAATTCATTTCTATGGCTGGCTGTGCCACACAAATTTTCTTCTATGTATTACTGCTTGGCTCTGAATGCTTTCTGTTGGCTGTTATGGCTTATGACCGCTACATTGCCGTTTGCCACCCTCTCAGATACACCAATCTCATGAGACCCCAAGTTTGTGGACTTATGGCTGCCTTCTCCTGGATCCTGGGCTCTACAGATGGAATCATTGATGTTGTAGCTACATTTTCCTTCTCCTGTTGTGGGTCTCGGGAAATAGCCCATTTCTTCTGTGACTTCCCTTCCCTACTAATCCTCTCATGCAGTGACACATCAATATTTGAAAAGGTTCTTTTCATCTGCTGTATAGTAATGGTTGTTTTCCCCGTTACAATCATCATTGCTTCCTATGCTCGAGTTATTCTGACTGTCATTCACATGGGATCTGGAGAGGGTCGTCGCAAAGCTTTTACTACCTGTTCCTCTCACCTCATGGTGGTGGGAATGTACTATGGAGCAGTTTTGTTCATGTACATACGGCCCACATCTGATCGATCCCCTATGCAGGACAAGATGGTGTCTGTGTTCTACACCATCCTCACTCCCTTGCTGAATCCCCTCATCTACAGCCTCCGCAACAAGGAGGTGACCAGGGCATTCAGGAAAGTGTTAGGAAAGGGCAAGTCTGGAGAGTGAGTGCTTTATAAACTTTATGCTTTGTTGGCTGCTAAATTCTTTTAAATGTCCCTTTTTTCCATTAAGTCCTCAAAATAACTTTCATTTTGTACATAAATTTGTAATAACATATATGTGAGCAGCTATATTATTTATTGCAGATAAACTATTTTAAATATTTCTTATATTCAATTCAGTTGTTAGTACAATATAAGGCATTTTCAATATTGACATTAAAGGATTTTTAAAATTTTTTTATTTAAATAGGTTTTTGGGGAACAGATGGTGTTTGGTAACATGAATAAGTTATTTAGTGCTGATTTCTGAGATTTTGGTTCACCCATCACCCAAGTAGCGTTCGCTGTACTCAATGTGTGTGCTTTAATCCCTCTCTACCCACACCTTTTCCTCCAAGTCTCCAAAGTCCAATGTATCATTCTTATGCCTTGATGTCTCATAACTTAGCTCCCAGATATGAGTGAGAATATACAATGTCTGATTTTCCATTTCTTTGTTACTTCACTTAGAATAATAGTCTCCTATTCTATCCTGGTTTTTGCAAAATGCTATTTTTTTTCCATTTTTTGGCTGATAGTATTCCATGGTGTATATATACCACCTTTTCTTTATTCACTTGTTGATTGATGGGGTTTTGGGTTGGTTCCATATTTCTGCAATTGCAAATTTTGCTGCAATAATCATGTGTGTGCAAGTATTTTTTTTTTGTAAAATGACTTATTTTCCTCTGGGTATACACCTATTAGTGGTATTTCTGGATCAAATGGTAAATCTACCTTTAGTCGTTTATGGAACCTTCACAGTGTTTTCCATCTTCACAGTGTTTTCCATAGTGGTTGTACTAGTTTATATTCCCTCCAAGAGTGTAAAAGTGTTCCCTTTTCAGCACATCCTGCCAACATTTATTTTTTGTTTAATTTTTTTATTTTGGCCATTCTTGCAGAACTGAGGTGGTGTCACATTGTGGTTTTGATTTGTATTTCCCTGATAATTAGTGATGTCCAGCATTTTTCCATGTACTTGTTGGTCATTTGTATATCTTCTTTTGAGAATGGTCTATTCATGTCCCTTAGCCCACTTTTTGATGGAACTGTTTGTTTTTTTTCTTGCTGATTTGTTTGAGTTCTTTGTAGATTCTGGTAATTATTCCTTTGTCAAATGTATATATTGTGAAGATTTTCTCCCACTCTGTGGGCTGTCTGTATCTCTCCTGATTATATCTTTTGCTGTGCAGAAGCTTTTTAGTTTAAGTCACATCTCTTTATTTTTGTTTTTGTCACGTTTGCCTTTGGGTACTTGGTCATGAAGTCTTCTCCAAGCCAACGTCTACAAGGGTGTTTTTCATGTTATCTTCTATAATCTTTATGGTATCAGGTCTTAGGTGTAAGTCCTTAATCCATCTTGAGTTGATTTTTGTATAAGGTGAGAGATGAGGATCCAGTTTCATTCTCCCACATGTAGCTTTTCAATTATTCCCGCACCATTTGTTGAATACCTTGTCCTTTCCCCACTTTATGTTTTGGTTTGCCTTGTTGAAGAACAGTTGGCTATATTTGACTTTATTTCTGGGTTCTCTATTGAGTTCCACTGATCTATATGCTTATTTTTATACCAGTACCATGCTGTTTTGATGGCTATTGCTTTATAGTATAGTCTGAAGTCAGTTAATATGATGTCTCCAGATTTGTTCTTTCACTTAATCTTGCTTTGGCTATGCAGGCTCTTTTTTGGCTCCATATTCATTTCAGGTTTTTTTCTTCTAGTTCTGTGAAGATTGATGGTGGCATTTTGATGGGAATTTCATGGAATTTATAGATTGCTTTTGGAAGTATTGTCATTTTCACACTACTGATTCTACCATCCCTTGGCATGAGATGTGTTTCCATTTGTGTGTGTTATCAATGATTTCTTTCAGCTGTGTTTTGTAATGTTCACTGTAGAGGTCTTTCATGTCCTTGGTTAGGTATATTCCTAAGGTTTTTTGTTCTTGTTGTTATTGTTGTTTGTGCAGCTTTTGTTAAAGGGGTTGAGTTCTTGATTTGATTCTCAGCTTGTTCGCTGTTGGTGTACAGCAGAACTACTGATTCGTGTATATTAATTTGGTATCCTGAAACTTTGCTGAATTTATTTACCAGTTCTAGGAGCTTTTGGGATGTGTATTTAGGGTTTTCTAGGTATACAATTATATCATCAGCAAACAGCAACAGTTCTACTTCCTTTTAACCAATTTGAATGCCCTTTATATCTTTCTCTTGTCTGATTGCTCTAGGTAGGACTTTCATTACTATGTTGAATAGAAGTGGTGAAAGTGGGCATCCTTTTGTTGTTCCAGTTCTCAGGGGAAATGCTTTCAACTTTTTTCCATTTGGTATAATGTTGGCTGTGGATTTGTCATAGATAGCTTTGATTATCTTAAAGTATGTGCCTTCTATGCTAATTTTGCTTAGGGTGTTAATTGTAAAGGGATACTGGATTGTGTCAAAATTTTTTTGTGTCTATTGAGATAGATGATCATGTGATACTTGTTTTTAATTCTGTTTACATGGTGTATCACATGTATTGACTTACTTATGTTAAACCATCCCTCCATTCCTGGTGTGAAACCTACTTAATCATGGTGGATTATCTTTTTGATATACTGTTGGATTTGGTTTGGCCATATTTTTGAGGATTTTTGCATCTATATTCATCAGGGATATTGCTCTGTAGTTTTCTGTTGTGTGCCCCCCTGCTTTTGGTATTAGAGTGATAGTGACTTTATAGAATAATTTAGAGAGGATTCCCTCTTTATCCTCTGCAATAGTGTCAATAGGATTTGTACTAATTCTTTGAATGGTTGACAGAATTCAGCTGTGAATCAGGTCCTGGACTTTTTTTTTTTTAGGCAGTTTTTTTTTAAAATTACCATTTCAATCTCTCTGTTATTGGTCTGTTCAGAGATTCTATATCTTCTTTGTTTTAGCTAGAATGGTTATATATTTCCAGGAATTTATCCATCTTCTCTAGGCTTTCCAGTTTATTTATATTAAGGTGTTCATAGTAGCCTTGAATACTCCTTTGTATTTCTGTGGAATCAGTTCTTGTATCTCCCATTTCATTTCTAATTGAGCTTATTTGGATCTTCTCTCTTCTTTCTTCGTTAATTTTACTAATGGTCTATCAATTTTATTTATCTTTTCAAAGAACCAGCTGCTTTTTTCATTTATCTTTTGTATTGTCTTTTGGTTTCAATTTCATTTAGTTCTGCTCTGATCATTGTTATTTGTTTTCTTCTGCTGGGTTTGGGTTTGGATTGTTCTTGTATACCCAGTTCCATGAGGTGTGACTTTAGATGGTCTATTTGTGCTCTCTCAGACTTTTTGATGTAGGCATTTAATGGTATGAGCTTTCCTCTTAGCACTGCTTTTGCTGTATCACAGAGGTTTAGATAGGTTGTGTCACTATTATCATTTATGTTACATAATTTTTAGTTTCCATCTCTATTTCATTGTCAACACAGTGATCTTTCAGGAGCAGGTTATTTAATTTCAATGTATTTGCATGTTTTTTAGTGTTCTTTTGGGAGTTGATTCCAATTTTATTCCACTGTGTTCTGAGAGAGTACTTGATATAGTTTCTATTTTCTTAAATTTACTGAGATTGCTTTGTGTCCTATCATATGGTCTTAGAGAATGTTCCATGTGCTGATGAATAGAACGTATATTCTACAGTTGTTGGGTAGAATATTCTGTAAATAGGCTGGGCACGGTGGCTCATGCCTGTAATACCAACACTTTGGAAGGCCAAGTTGGGCAGGTCAGCTGAGGTTAGGCATTCGAGAACAGCCTGGCCAACACGGGGAAACCTCATCTCCATTAAAAAAAAAAAAAAAAAAAGCCAGGTGTGGTGGCAGGCACCTGTAATCCCAGCTACTCAGGAGGCTGAGGCAGAAGAATCACTTGAAACCTGGAGGTGGAGTTTGTAGTGAGCTGAGATCATGCCATTGCTTTACATCCTGGCGACAAGAGCGGAACTACATCTGAAAGAAAAAAAAAAAATGTTGTGTAAATATCTTTTAAGCCCATTTGTTCTGGGGTATGGTTTCAGTACATTGTTTCTTAGTTGACTTTCTGTTTTGATGACCTGCCTAGTGTTCTCAGTGAGTATTAAAATCTGCCACTATTTTTGTGTTGTCTTTTATCTCATTTCTTAGGTCTAGTAGTAATTGTTTTATAAATTTGGGAGTTCCACTGTTGGGGCATATATGTTTGTGATTGTGATATTTTCCTGTTGGCCTAGTCCTTTTATCATTATATAATGTGCCCTTTTGTCTTTTTTAACTATCCTTGTTTTAAAGCTTTTTTTTTTCTGATATAATAATAGCTACTCATGCTCGCTTTTGTTGTCCATTTGCATGGAATATCTTCTTCCACCACTTTAAGTTTATGTAGTCCTTATGTATTAGGTGAGTCTCTTGAAGATGCAGAAACATCTTTGGTTAATTCTTATCCATTATGCCATTCTGTATCTTTTATATGGAACTATGTGATCTAATTAAGCTCAGTTATTTTATGGTTTTAGGTCTAACATTTAAGTCTCTAATCCATCTTGGAGTTGGCATTTGAAGAGGAGGAACTCCCAGGGCTGTATTTGAGAGTGTTAATTTAGAAGAGTACAAACAATGGCTGGAAATAATGTGTTAATATCCATCACTGGGGACACTAACTTGACTGACTCTTCCATTTTTTTTTCATTCTGTTAATGTTATATAGATCCTGTGAGATATATGCTTTAAGGAGGTTCTATTTTGGTATATTCTAAGAATTTGTTTCAAAATTTAGAGCTTTTTTTTTTTTTTTAGCAGTTCTTATAATACTGGCTTGGTAGTGTTGAATTGTCTCAGTTGTCTCAGCATTTGTTTGGCTGGAAAAGACTGTCTCATTCTTTCATTTATAAAGGTTAGTTTCATTGAATACAAAATTCTTGACTGATAACTGTTTTGTGTAAAGAGGCTGAAAATAGGTCCACAATTCCTTCTAGCTTGTAAGGTTTTACATGAGAAATCTGCTGTTAATCTGGTAGGTTTTTCTTTATAGATTACCTGCTGCTTTTGTCTCATAGCTCATAAGATTCTTCA